CGAACACGGTCCTGGAGCCCCAACCTCAGAGAGAAGCACACTGGACCCTGGAATAGGTAGGAGCGATTCCACAGCTCCCGGACTCTTTAACCATGCCTCCTCGATCCGAGTCGCAGCGATTGCAGTTTCCAATCGTCAGGCGGAAAGGGCGTCCCGGACCACATACTTGCGGAGATTCTTGCTGCGGATTCATTGCCTTGTCGGCAAGATACCGGGATTTTACACAGGGAGCTCCCCCGAAGCCTATAGGCACCTCAACAAATCTCAGAAATCCTTTCGCTGATAGCCTGACCGGAGCAGCGCGTATCTAGGCAACTCGTCCGAGCTCGTACGGAGCCCGAGAATCTGTATAAGAGAAGGTAGAGCGCGACCTTCAGCTATCTTCCAACGCCTTGCCTTCTTCGCCTGAATAGGGGTGTACCTCGTGATTTGCATAGAGTTGCCGTTGCTGTGTCCGTCGTTTGTGCTCGTGTCGCTGTCGACGCACAAAGAGGGGGAGGCGAATAATGCATCGAACAACTGATGTCGCCTTTTCGCGTCCCTCTGGCAGTCTTAGCATGCGGCGGCAGAGAGCATTGGTTGAAAGGCGACGGCGTCGAGACCATGTGAGCTGCGAATGAGATATGTTAATTGCGGGCGAAGAACAAGGGAGGCCAAGGAGCGTGATGCACTCGGACCGTACGGCAGTCGTCCCGGACGTATCATATCGTAAATATTCCAATACAAGCACGGGCCTCCATTATTTCAAACCCCGGCGCAGAGGGGCTTTTATTGGAGATGGGCTTCTATTGGAGAGGGGCTTCTCTTATCAGGGAGCTCCTCATGATTCTACGCGCGGTGGTGCAATGACCGTGATTTGGAAGGAGAGACGTCAGAGAGCTGAATTTCTCGTGACTCCTGAAACTCGAGGTATGTTCTGGAACAGAGCTCCTCGGAAACCTGATTCGATTTCCCCCAAAGGACCCTTGTCCGAGACGGGCTTCCATTCGACTCGAGAATTCGGCCAAGGGGGTTCTATTGGAGACGGGCCACTGTAGGTGGGGGGCTTGTACTGGAATATCCACGGTAATTCGCTCCCTCCTCTTTCGTTCCGAAACGAATCGGTCTTCGGAGTCTGCAGGATTTCGGCGATGGTCCGGGAGGTCAATGTGCGAGAGGAGAATGAGCGACGAAATCGGGGAGTCAGTCTCCTGCTGGGGATAACCAACAGGAAAACAGCCTCAAGACACATCTGATGACTATAGTTCCTAAACTAAAAGACCGAAGACAAACGACCACATCGACGAGGGAATCGTCTCTGATGAGTTATCCCTGTCGCCGGACGATGTGGGAAACGCTAGAATGAGAATGCCGCAATCGGATCTATCCTCATTCGAGAGTCGGAAAATGAAAATGTCCGAAATTTAGGAACTCTTCTGATGACACATAAGGTGAGAAAATGTGACCAGACGATCTCTCGCGATCAGCGGGAGGATCCCCCGGATGGAATGCGCGCGCGACTGAGAGCGATCTGATCTGACTGAGAGAGGCCGGACTAAAGATCCTCCGAGCAGTCCAAATCAATCGCGGACTGAATGGGTGGTACCGAGACATTCGCCAGACGCTCCGCAGAGGTAAGGCCGGATGACTGGTTGTATCGCCTCCGGATAGTGCTACATGGGTACTCGCTCAAGGAGCTCAAACTCTCGATCTCTGTTGCTCTCGCCGCATGAACTGGACGAAGCTCCTAGCATTCCTAGTTTTCTCTTCCATCATCCCTATACATTGAGCTTTTTCTGTCCTTCATCGATTTCACACATCAGTTCCTCGAGGGCGAGCCATGTCCGCGGTTTCGGGGAGGAACGTGTTCGCATCCGGGGTATGAGGTTCCGGGGTAGTACCCCCTTTTGATAACTTGGTTTGTGGGATCAGAGTATTCCTCAAACCAAAGTTGTGGAGTTCAGGAAACTCCAGAAGTTCTTCTCCTCTCCGGGATCCGGAACTAAAGCACCACCTTCGAATTAAATATGGACGGAAGGGAGGACGCGCGCAGAATCTGATCTAGGCGACGAATTATTTGAGCATGTCATAATGGAATGCAAACAGGGCCCTAACGAAGACATTGAGGTTCGTATGGAACTAGCACTACTTGAAGATTAAACGACGGAGATTGTGGAGAAAACAAAATGAAATCTCGAGGATAAGGGAACGCCGTTCACGGGAGAAGTGACCGTAATAGCACCTGCGTCAGCCAAAGCTTGTCTGTGCCCGCGTATGGGCGATCCGGGGGACATGAATCTGTTCCAAGCGGAAGAGATATAGTAACAACCAAACAATCCATCAATCGACAAATCAATCAGACTACCTGCAGAGCAACGGTATTAATGTGGACCAGGGGAGCACAACACGCGGCCCGCGTGGCTCCTCTCTACTGCCCACCGCCGTGTTCCCGGAGAACTCATGCTTCTCGTGTAAATAAATAGTTCTGAAAAGATCGAAACCATGGAACGCGTTTTTCGGAAGAACTACGAGCGGGGCCCGTCCGAATGATTCAGAACTCCACTTCCCCAGGCAATGATCAGTTTCAATGGGGAGGAGGGGGCTCAAGGGGCATAAATTGCGGCCCGCCAGGGGTCGTGATGTCCCCGGAGCGGCCCGCCTAGCCCATCACGCTGTGCATCACTGATCTAGAAACGTTCGATGATAAAAGCATGCGATTCCTCACGTTTTGCGGAAATCTTCCCGGAAGGCGATCACGAGCGATCAGATCAATTAGAGGCCGGCTGGAAGACCTACGGAGTAGTCCTCATCAACCGCGGATTGAATTGATGGTGCCGCGACATTCGCCGAAAGCGCTACAGGGGCGAGGTTGAGCGCATGACTGTATTGTGGGGAAAAGGAAGGGGTCTCCGAGTGTTACTACATGGCTTCCCTCCGAAAATTCCGACTCTGGACGACTTTTGCTTTCGCCGGGGGAATGAGAGCTTCAAGCACCGGGAGTTCATCCATCGATAGAGAAAAGACAGGTGAGCAGAAAAAAAACCAAATCGGATCGCTCACATGGTCCGCTGAGAGAAATTGGTCCCTCACGAAAAGATATGTAAGATATGTGAATAATCACAAGCTATATCGGTGAGCAGAGGTAGGGAATCCTCGTGGGCTTTCTGACGAGGCTCGATTGATACACCGGATCGCGGGCTTTTCGCGGCCAATAATGCTCCCTCCGAGACCAAACAGTCTCAATCCCCGGCAAATTTCCGACGTAAGGTCGACGAGTGCGTATTTGTATTGCATTATGCGAATGTATGAGTATGCATGTGCTCACATTACCGACAATGGAGCTCACCAATAGAAACGGGCTGATCAATTCGTGTCCGCGCCACTCAAAATTTTAGATGAGAGGTTTCTCCAGTGAGGGCCGCCTCGGTAGGCCACGCCATGTTCGGAAGTTTCGCGCGTTCTCGACGGCCATGTGCGAAATCCTCCGACATGGTGGGAAGCAGCAGGTGAATCCGATCCATGAGCCCAGATTGAAATCCTGGGGCAGAAAATGATCGAACAGAAGACCCGAGGACCAGGGATCCTCTCAGCGATTTTATTTCAAAATTCTCAGAGTCCTATCTTTACAGTATTCACACCGGATATTTTACAAGTATGCAAAAGGCTCAGCCTTTGGAAGTCGGTGTTTGAGCGTTTTGATTTGTCTGTCCGCCACTCTGTCCCGAAGCAGGTGCTGACACAGCCTGAACCGGATTTGATTTTCGCAGGACATTGAAGTGTTCCATGTACTGCTGGATTGTGTCCACTGGGGTGTAGATCTCTCTCATACGGAGAGCGAGATACGGACCAGGCTGGTTGAGGGGGACACCTGCAGAGGGATTCATTCGAGTCTTTATTTCCACATGGGACAGCCAGTGAACTCCAATGAGTCTGATGATGCTGCATATATGCTCTCCTCACCCAAGAGAGATTCCATGAGCTCACGCATGAGCTCCCAGCACGAGGCAGTGACAGGGCATGGTTGATACTCGCATTCCACTAGGAGACCACGCGCCGAAGTTCCGATCGTCACGGTGCCAACCTTCAGGACGAAGTCTTCCACCTGAGATGAAATTCCATTCAGCGACACGTATGCGTAGGATTATCGGATCTGATAGCGGGGTCATCCGACTCTAACCTGATATCGGGGTCCCTTGCATTCGACCTTGGTGCCCATTTTCGTCGTGAACAGCTGAGGAGTGAGCTTATTCATAAGGCTGTCGAAATTGGCATCCGCCACCAGACAGAGGCCGGACTCCAGCAGCGAGAATACAGAAGCAGGGTGCTCGCTGTCATGGAGAACATGCTGAGTTCTCCCCATGGAGGTGTTGAAATAGGTTTCACAGTCTACGCAGAATACACCGTCTCTCTGACCGCCGATTCGTTCGATCATGCGACAGAGATTGTCCGCAGTTGACTGCAGAGCTTCGGGACCCGAGCAGGGTACCATATGAACAATCACGACACCCATTCGAATTCTTCACGAGTGCCGAAATCCTGAAATTGAGAGTTTCACGTGTTCAACACTGTTCCCGGATCATCGGATTGAGAACTCTATCCATTTTCGAGCGGAATCCCTCGTCTGACTCCGACGTCTCCATGTTCTCGTACCGTGGCTGATCCATTCATCTCGTGCACAAGTCGCATGTTCTGTCGACTCACCGATTATTCAGGCCGTGGAAGTCTCAGGGAATCGAACCCGTCAGATATAACGGAGTGCATGTGACTTTCAACAACGGATAATTTCCCTGGGAAGAGCTGAGAGTCCGCATAATGATAGTAGACCTGAGAATCCGTCTTGTACGGTTTTCCGGCTGTACGCCGTTTTTCTGTACGCTTGTGCGTGTATTGAGTCTATGGGGAGTCCGTACAAGAAGTACGGGGGGTAAAACTAAACAGAAGCGGAATCTGTCTAGGCTGAAGGGAGAAGAATGATTCCGATGATCTTTACTGACAGTGTGAGCGCGATCGGGCCGAACCTTCATATTTTTTTAGGATCAGTTTCGTAGACTTATGGACCTAAATGAAAAAACGCGGATACAGGTGGATGACGGTAAATGAACGTGAATCACGGTGAATGACAATAAATGACGATAAATGACGGCAAAGGTCGGTAAACGACGGTGAATAAACGGTGAACGACGAAGTATACCGGTGGATGACGGAGAAGTTGAAATACAGGTACCTTCCCCCTTTCGCCGAAATTCCGGTTTCCGATTCTCTCTTCCGTTCGATGTGTGAGCCGCTATACGTTTTTCGCGGAGGAATATGGGGAAGTGTTAAAAGTGCCATATATGCCCAAGTTGTTAAACACATTTCTTATGCTGTCGAGCTCCTCGACACGCGTGTCAGCCAGAGCAGACTTTCCTCAAATAAGCATGAATGCATGGATGACATTTATTTTATTTACAAGGGTTGTGGTTAAACAGTTTTAAGAGTTCCCGAAGAGATCAGCCACCCAGGAAACTAATTCCCCCGAGCACTCCACTCTGGAAGACCCCGCCAGCGATGAGTCTTGCATTGCCCCACTGAACCTCAACCGAGATCCGCTGCTTGATGAAAGCAGCCGCTCGTCGATTACTGTCCCTGCTCTCGATCTTACGTCCTATCGTCTTGACAAGTTCTAGGGCCTCGCTACCCCAGACACCCGTAGACTCGATCACGAATGGCACCAGGATGAATTCGTGGAGCAGAGACGTGTATTTGGCCCTTTTTTCTCCCTCCCCTCTGAGGGCCACCGCGCGTACGTTGTGAACGACCATGGCTCCAGAGTCATCCCGTCCGGGCAGAGTGCGTCATTCGGTGAAAGGTGTCGCGGCTCCTTGGTGCAGGAGATGCCAGCCTGTAAAAGGGCCCAGATCAGGAGGCCGTTGATTGTCGCGTGTCGCGCCAGCCGACCGGTGGCTAGCTTGTAGCAGCTAGCTTGAGTCTATGCAGAGCAAGTCGGTCGATCGGGGATCCGCACACGTAGGTGGCCTGTTCAACAATCGGCAGACCCCGTCTGAGACACACCGCTCAAATGAAGTCCACATCAGAGAGGAGCGTTCCAAGATTGACACTGGGCAGGGCCTGAAGCCACCAGCTTGACTCCGGGAGCGCAGCGTTCCCCAGCCGAATGGAGTCTGTCTCGGAGGTTGCTAGTCGTAGGCGGAGGTCCTTCATGATTGACTCACAAGCAATGCGCATCCACTCAGCCTGGCGGGTTCGCTCGTCGTAAGCGGGCGCTGAACCCTACGAGGCCGTGAATTCCGCCGCCGCCTCGACTCCCAGGTGCAAGCATCCGGCACAAGAGCCGAGGATGTCGAGGACCAGGGACTCTGCGGAATCGCACGATGCGGCGAAGGCCGGCAAGGCAGTCGGGGAGGGTATCGGAATATGTACCTATTCCAACCAAAGAGGTGGGCAGGGAGAGCTGAGTGAGAGCATCACCGGATGCTGTATCATCGAGCTCGTTGATCCGTCGGTTTTGAGAACTTGGTGATTAGACCGATATAGGTTTGCTCAGCTTTCTCAAGCCAAACAGAATCCCGGGACGCAATTTTGGTCGGAGGAAATCCTCGTCGTACAAAACTTTCTCGGAGCGAAATCATTCCCGAACTTACTCTAGCAGGGTACATTAAGTTTGCTGTCGCTTATCCATCCGCATATGTCACAACGAGCTGCGGTCGCGCTTTTCTCTGCCCAACGCCACACCCAATTCTTCAGAAGGCGAACTACGCGTAACGGGTCCATTTTCTCAATATTTCCATGGAATCTCGGCGAGAGACAGCTTGAGGATACAGATCGCTCGGCGGGCTAGCCGCCTCCCGCGCTGTGCGATTCGAGCCAGCATGCACTGTGCACGTCTATGAGCCGGCCAGCCGGCGAAGCGTGTATTCGCGCAACTTGTCGTCATTTATCTCACAGAATGGCTCTCACGGCTCATCATTCGCTTCTGAGTATCGGCGAAAGACGTCGCGCCGCCTCTATCCGGTTTCAGAACCCGCGGGTACTAGGAACCGAGAGAATTTGCGCGATTCCGGAACTGGAAAAATACCCCGGGTACCCGCGGGTTTTGGACCGCGGTTCAGATCCACTGAAAGCCCTAGTGATAACGAGGAGTCGGTCTGTATGGTGAGATAAATAAAGTGGTACCTCGACTTACGATCGTCTCGACTTAAGAACGATTCAATTACGATCTTTTTATTAGAAGAATTTGTTTCGACTTGCGTCCGATTCTTCGGGACGAATAATTCGCGGTTGTCGCTCGACTCGCTCTGAATTAATGTGCACACAGCTGAACTGAGGATTTGTTGTCGATAAATACACATTTCGCGGTCCTTCTACTCCGCTCTGAGCTGATCAATCGCCCCCTTATCGGAATTTCCTATGGGAAATTCTGAAATTTCGGCTCACGATCTTTTCCACCTACGATCGGTCTCCGGGAACGGATTAAGATCGTTAGTCGAGGTACCACTGTAACTCGACTTGCGTCCGATTCTTACTATTACTATTACTATTACTATTACTATTACTATTACTATTACTATTACTATTACTATTACTATTACTATTACTATTACTATTACTATTACTATTACTATTACTATTACTATTACTATTACTATTACTATTACTATTACTATTACTATTACTATTACTATTACTATTACTATTACTATTACTATTACTATTACTATTACTATTACTATTACTATTACTATTACTATTACTATTACTATTACTATTACTATTACTATTACTATTACTATTACTATTATTCCGTTGTCCATGATGCGGGGCGATTCTTGAATACGGGCTAATTCGCTGAGCGCAGCCTCTGGTGTGCCGAGCCCTCTCGAGTCCGAGAGCCGCTCTGTCTCCGGAGTCATGGAGAGTGTTGAGTGTTGTCCGCGGTGTCGTGTGCGTCCTCCTGTTGCGCTGTTTCACGTCGAGTCTGGTAGCCACGTTCTGGCATGGCACGTCTCCCCCGCGCGCACGAGGCAACGCGGCATTCAAGTAAGTCGTCACTCGTGTCCAACCGTCGGAGTCAGATGGTTGTGTTCCTCAATTTAGTCGAGAATACGTGAGAAACCCTAGCTTTTTTTAAAGTAAGTTAAAATCGAATTCATCGGAATTTCAAGATTTTGTGGTTATAAACTCGGAAAACCACTGGGGTGTGACGACTTTAATTTTGGCTGAAACGCCACGTGATCGGCTCGTTGATCTTAAGGAAGGAAAAAAAAATCGTTGGAGTGGGTGAAATCCGTATAAATGTGTGGGTGCGAGACTTGGATGAGTGAATTCAGGGTGGTTGATTGCCAGAGTTCGCGTTCAGAGACCGCTCCAGGCTCGAAAAAAATGATGCTCAGAGCTCCCATCCAAACTCGGCAGCGGACCACGGAAGCTAACGATCATGCGGTTTTCGTGGATGACGCCGAATGAGCTGTGAGCTCGTCGTTCGTAGAGGGCTCGAGCCGTCGTGAGGAGGAGACGTTCCGCGGGGCGGAATTGAATGGGGGACCACAATGTCACGGTTGTTCTGATACACGTGATCCTGAGAACTTTTATCATCAGGGATCCGTCCTTCTACCTGACACTCTACCAGAGTCTAGTTCTTCCGAAGCTCATGTACTGCTCTACAGTTTGGCCCCTGTTTTTCCATGGGAATATTTGTCTTTTCCCACATGTCGTTGACTCTACCGATGGCGTCTGGCATGCTCTGAGCTTCTTCGACGTATCTCCTAATGATAGGGATCATTTCTCTCTTGAAGCCGCGATATCCCAGTTAGTAGGTCATGTCGTTCCTCGTATCTGTAATATTCTTTGGGTTTTTTCGTTAGTCCGATGATTAATATTGATCTTCAGATCCTGAGTCCAGGGGTATGTAGGGCTCTTTGGGTTCCAGGTAATTTTGAATGAGGGCAGCGATCACTCCCAGGAGGAGCAGCAGGAGAAGTCCGTTAACTGCTACCGAGATTTTTAGCTGGGTCCGTTCTCGAGGATTTTCTGGGAACTCGCTATCTAACATAAATGCTCAACGGAAACAACTCTTCAACTCAAAAGGATTGATCTTCCCCGCAGTGGTTGCTTTGGGCGGACACTTTCTGCTCACGGCATTCATCCTGAGTACGATAATAGGGCCCTCGGAACGAACCCGCCGAAGCCTCCATTACGATCTGCCAGAGCTCCCCTGTCGGCACTTCAAGCGCAAGGAGATATCACTCAGGATCGGAAGTGGTTACAGATCGGTGTCAAAGTGCCATGAGGAGTTTTGTGGGCGACTTCTCGAGTGCCTCTACCCAAGAATAACCCACTCCGTCGGAAGAAGATCGAACGGGGCACAGTCGAGAAATTGGACCCTTTTCATCCAAGATTCCGGCTTTGTCCAGCACCGGGGTCAGATTCGAATCGTGGCGGTGGCCGGAAGGCAGAAGCTAGAGCTGTTCTATAGCGCAGAGCTAGACTTCGATTGTGATCCGAAGATAGACTCCCGTCCCTCCATATTCCAAGGGATCGTCGAATACATGACATCGTTCATCAGACATTGAGAGATATTTATGGTGCATCCCAACCTGTATCGGCGCGCCGTTTTTACCATCTCCTGCTCAACCCAGAAGATCGACCGCAGCGATCCTCCCTGTAAAATAACTGTGATATCAAGACTTTTTCGAGGACTTAAGTTGTGCCGCCAAGCAGGGAGCGCGGTGGTCCCTTACTCTCCACGTCTTTCGTCGTCGTTAAATAAACCATTGTGAAAAAAAGTCGTGCAACCGATCAGAAGACTTCTCA